CTTAGTTGATATAATCTAATCAATTAATCAACTAATCTCATCTCATCCAATTTAATCAGCGTCCTATTAGACAACAGTTCTTTTGTCTTTAAGTCTAGAATCAGTCTAGGGATGAACACTGCTGCTCTAAATGGCTCCATTCGGCAGTAGCAAAGGCAATTGTCTCTAATAAAGGACAATTGAGACATTATCACAGGTTCAGAATCAACTCAGGTATGAAAGTTGAAAGAGCAGGATGGATGGAATAAGACCACTATTGGCAAAGGGTAAATTCAGCTGATTTAGGAGACACTGTCATGCATAATTGATGTGAACTGTTTTCCACGTACTTTACTGGTTTGTTTTAATGTTGAATATTAATACTTTAATAGTTGCAAACATTTACGTCCCAAGTGTTTATCTTCGGGGAAAAAATTTCTGCTTTCAAAATTAAAAGTGCCTTGAGTCTTCTATGTTATCCATAGGAGTGTGGAGTATTGGGAAGATCTCAAAGACATGGGGTCAAATCTTAACTGTCACTCACTGTGTGACCTTGGGCTAATTTCTTAACTTCCCTGAACCTTGTTGTTTACAGAAAAAGAAGAAACTCTCTCTTGTAGTATTGTTCAAAGAAATAAATGAAATAATATTTGGAGACAACGTGGCTAGGAAGAAGAGGCACTCAATAGATAGTAGCTACTATGATATGCATTAAATTATGATCTGAAAGCCACCTTTCAGCTCCTAAATTCCATAAAATTTGCAAAAATGAGCAATTAGTACAAGATTTCTCAAAGTGTATATGATCAAAAAAACAAGGATTCCACTGTCAAATAAGTTTGGGAAATGCTATATGCTATCTTCCTTTCCCCTTGTAAGTCAGAAGTCACTTTTAATTTAACTGAATTTGCTGAGAAATTCCAAAGTTTAAAATAAATTGTTTAGCTTTATGGAATCAAGAGTCTTCTAAGCTTATTTGCTCGTAGAAATATCTCTTCCCAGAAGATATAGTAACATCCTAAGAACTTTCTTGTCTTCCACTTAGAGAAATGCCAAGTTCGTAATTTTTTTAAATGCCAAAGGATAAATAAATTTTCAAAATTAAGATACACTGAATTATCTGTGATACCTGGATAGCAAAATTAAAGCTAATTTGATTCTAAACAGCAGCAAGACAAGCACAAAAAGCAAGGAATAAAACGAAAGTGAAAGACTACTGACTAGGGCCGAGTTTTGTTGGTGTTATAACCATTTTTGATTGGTGGTGGTTGATTGACTAAAACTGCCTTTGGAATTAAGGACATCCAGGAGCTTGGTAAAATTCTCATTGCAGTTGTTTATTTGCCCTGAAGGAGGGAAACACAGTATATCAGCATCGTCCCATGGTTCCATTTGTACTCCTTGCCAAGCCAAGATGAAGTACCTGAAACATCTGTCGAAAAACTATGAGGCTATTGCAAATCCATCTCACAATATTTGCATTCATATATTTTGGTAAGAACATAAACTTTTTCTTTCAATTGCCATAAATAGTGCTGGAGTTTTCTTAATACTTTTATTTATCTATATATTTACTTCCTTTTTTTAAGCTAGCAACTTCCCTTAGTTTACTATTGTTCTATATGGATATCGTGTGTAGTTCCAGGAGATAGAAAAGAGACTGCAGGACTAAAGGATTGGGTTTTTAAATTACTTTGAAAGCAAAAGAAGCAGAAGGCATGGGAACTGTTATTCCTATGTTATTTTTTATGAGTATCCACTTTATCATTTTTAAGCATCAAAATATTTTATATTAAATCATTAATTTTAATGAGTTGGATATCACCAATAAGTTCTTAGCACTATTATTAATTGTAATTTATTGATGTTCTAGCTGTACTTGTTTTCAGATTTCTGTCTCTCTCTACTCATATGAAAAAGAACATTCCACAGTTATCCCAGTCAAATATAGTCAACTCTCAGAACAGTTTTAAAGTTAAATAAAGATAGGCATTTAAATCATCTGATATTTACTATCCAAATCTGGCCTTTTCAGCTATCACAGTACTTGGAATGTGCATTATATTTCCAGGTAAAATTTTTTTGCTCATTCTATTGAATCTTGTTAACATTTATACTAAAGGACAAGCAATTCACCTATCCTGATAAAATATATTATAGCTTCCTGAATCCTTTGCATTGAGAATAAATGCCAACTTGTTTTGGTATCCATTACCACTTTCAAATTGCGTTATATGATATAATGAAAATGTGAGTTCTTAATTAGCAGGATCTGTTTTGTTCCAATGTACAACAGTAGAAGAATTTTTGAACATGCTGCAGCTGTTACCTATAGAGGAAACAAGTTTCACCTTACTAAGAGGAGGTGCACAAGTACATATGTTCCTAAGGACAGATCTTTCAGTGTTTCCTTAAGCAATACTATTTCATAATGGACTTCACATTGAATATGGCAAATTTTACCATTGCTGCCCACTCAATTTCTGCCTCTAGGTTGTTTTTAAAAGAGAAGATGAAATTTTTAAGGGCAATGAGGAGTGGGGGTGGAGAAAGCATCTTTTATGAGAGATGCAATATTTATCAAAATTATAATGAAATATGCCTATATACATATATCTAAGTATTCATTTAAATATTGTGTGTGTGTCTCTGTATACATGCTGTGCCCAGCAACCATTTGTATGAATATAACCTGAAGGCAGCCACATGAAATGACAAAAATGAAAAAATTTAAACTTATATACTAATAGATAGTACAGATAATATAGAAGGTAGAACAGTAGCCACAAATAACATAATAAATCCTTTGCTCATGGGATTTTTTGCCGAGATTTGAGGCCTTTAAACATCAACCAATTATGGTAAATGTTTAACTGTAGGAGTTCAGGCAGACAGCCAAATTCTGGTTTCAAAGCTACTGCTAGTTTTAGCTTAAAGAGTTTCTCATTTTTAAGGAAAAGCATTTCTGGGTACTGGCTATACCCTATTGTGGCTATAGCTACTGAAATTTGAGTAAGTGGATTAATTAGACCATAGCTCCTGAAGAAATGGGCCCTGCCGTGTTATCTGAAATGTGGCCAAGAATGGGCTACTTGGAGTCCTAGGAAAATACTTCCCGTTTATGACTTAGCTCTATTTACCTAAAGTTCGTTTATTGCCACAGACACAAAGTAAAGAGAGAGAGTGTTCTTAGCCAAGTGTCTACAAAAACAGCAATGTTGCGGGGAGGGGAGCAAAATGACCATTTTAGCCTTTTCTTGTTCAGAAAGCCAGGTATTCGAAATAAGTGCACGATAGCCAAACTCCTCCGCCCCACAGGTACATTTGCTTTCTTACTAAGCTTATTAACTCAATTACCAATCTGCATGAAGCTGGGTTGAACATTAGCCCTTCCTGAAGGCATTCCTACCCTCTTGTGGAAGCACTAACAAATGGGTAGAAGAAAAGAGCCTAGATAATCCACACACTGGATTTGCAGCCTCGGAATATTTGAGATTCAACTGCTAAAGCCTCTTTGGTATAGACACAATAATGAGGGGGCTACTGAAATGACTTTTCTTTAGTCCATTTTGTCTCCTTTATCTCCTTGAGGTACCCCGTGGGTCTCTTCCCGTTCCTTCTTCACAGACCCTTCTGCACAGCCCCAAAGCTCCAAACCTTATCCCACTTCCCTAATGTCTCCCATTCACCACCACCCTCCCCAACTAAAGTCCCCTCCTGGTCACCACCAAAGCCCGGAAAAGTGCAATGCACACAATGCCTCCCTTATAGGGCTTGAGCTGGGAACTGGGCATGCTCAGTAGCCAAATCAGAGGGTTTTTTTTCTTCTTTCGGTCGCAAGTGCGGCATCTCTGTCAGTCCCACACCTCTCTTTCCTCTATCCCTATCCCTTTTCCCCACCCCCAGCTCCTTAATCACCCTGCTTAACTCATTCTGCACCGAAGGCTCCCAGAGATCTAAAGTGCGATGAATTAACCTGTCTCCTCCTAAACCCACTAAAGGGTCTCACTTTGGGCTAAAGCTTCACACTTTTGTCTTAAAGCCCCCAGCCCCTTTTGAGCATACAGGTAGGGGGAGTGCGAATACTGCTGGATCCCAAGAAACTGGTCCCAAGAAAGCTCCATCCAGGATCGCCCGCTACCGAAGTATTCCTGGAGCCCTCTGTTCTGCGGGGTGACAGTGAGCCAAAGGTACCGTACCCGTGATACAAAGCCCAAGTTCGATTGTTGCCTTTGAATGTCATTGTTGTTGACTCACCCCCCTTGATTCTGGAATTATTCAATTCCGCGTAGACTCGACGCCCCTCTCTACCTCCCTCGATCCCCCTCCCCCCAGGCTCTTCCGCGTTTCTTTGGCTTTGCCTGGGTTCTTGGTTGCTCTCTCAAAGGAACGCCCCGGTAGTGTGTGTGTGTGTGTGTATGCGCGTGCCTTCGTTCTTAGGGAACTGGGGGAGGAGAAAGGACTCGAGTGTGCGTGTAAGTGGTGGGGGGATGGAGGCTGTCGCGCCCATGTTGGGGGACTGGGGTCTCTATGCTTGAGGAAAGGGGTCGCTCCTACCTAGGGGGTGTTTTAGGCAAGAAAGAGGAGGCAGATGCCGGGAGGAAAGTGCGCTGTCTTTCCCGGAGTGTGGGTAAAAGAGGAATCAAGTGGGGGTGTCTTGGTGGGGGACGGGGAGGCCTCAGGAATGCGCGGGGGTCGAGATGGTTGAGTGGGGGAGCTGCGAGTCTGCGGGGGGGGGACGGAGGGCGGGGGCGGGGGCGGGGGCGGGGATTCGCCGCGTGTATGTAAAGGTGCAGCCCGTGTGCGAGGGGCTGGGTGCACGCGCGGTGTCTGGCCGAGTGCGCGCGCACGCCGCTGCCCGCCTGCGAGGGCTGCTCGGTGGGTCTGACAGGCGAGCGGGCGCGGAGGAGCTCGAGCCGAATCACGTAGAGACCATCGCGGAAACTGCAGCGCGGATCGCAGCGCGGCGCGGCCCGGCGCGGCGTACCCTGCGAGAGCCGCCGGCTCCAGAGGTGGGTGAATCTCCAGCGGGGGCTGTGCGAACTGCACTGACACGCGCTGCCTCTTCCCCGCTCGGTTTAGCAGCGCGCGCGCGTGTGTGTGTCTGTGTGCGCGCGCGCGTGCGCGCGGAGGAGGGTAGGTAGCTTATTATTTTTAGTTTTGGTCGTGTTGCTTTGGGGCCGGCTGAGGGGCCAAAGCGGCCGTAGTGGTTACCCCTCCAGCCCCCCACCCTCCGCTTGCATGCCCACGGCGCGGCAAGTCCCTGAGGACGGAAAGAATCTGGTATCCTTAGCATCGCTGCATCCCGCGCGGCCAGGGCGGCGGGGAAAGTGTCCTGCTCTAGGGCGGCTTGGGCTTGGGCTATTAGGGCCGCTGCGCTGGGCTGGGCTTTGTTTTCTGCGCCCCCGTCGCAGGCACTCTAGGCGGACGTGGATCTGGGGCTCCCAGCAGTGGCCCGCGAGCTGGTCGGAGATTGCTGGCACCCAGCAAGACAGGGAATACAAGAGAAGCCGGTGGGTAACTCTAAAAGCCCTGCAAAGCCGGGCAATCGCTGGCAGCGCGACTTTGCAAGATGCCCAAATGTTGAGCTGGTTTCTGGCTTGGTGAGAGCAGCATTATGTGGCTGGCCAGGGGAGGGGGGCTCGGCAAGGGGGAACCGGGGCCGCCGCTCTTGGCCACAGAGCCACGGGGTCACTCTGCCTGTGACAAGCGGACCAGGGACTCCCCAGTGGCCATCGCCCTCATGGCTTGAGCTGGCCATTTCTTCTCCCTCAAACACCGCATGCCCTGGTCTAGAGAGGCCGATGGAAACTCCAGCAGCTGCCCCTTGTGGGACGAGAGCGCGCGGAGAAATGTGTGCGCAGCGGGGCTGAATCAGGCCCCCGCGACGTCTCAAGCGGTCCCCGCCTCCGCTGCCCTGCCCACGAGGCCGCTGCTTGGGCCCGGGACCGAGGAGGGGGCTGCGTGCCGGCTCCGGGCATTGGGATGCGGCAAAACATTGCAGTACTCGCCATCGCCAGCGGCCCCTCCAGCCGCGTCGCTGCCGGCCCGAGGTAGCGCACAGGGGTTGGCAGTGACCGAGTCTCTCCGCGGAGTCCCCCACCCCCGCCCCAAGCGGGCCGACGGAGATTTCTCCTGCCAGCTCCAGGGGAGCCACCTTGGCCCACCTTCCCCAGTCGTCGGCCTCCCGCAGGCCAGTTCCCTCCTCACGGGCGCGGAGCGACAGGCGCGGCACTCTGGTGGATGCCCGATTTGTGGTAAGGCTACGTTTGTGCGGTCGTGACCGGCGGTGGGAGCCTAGAGTGTTGAGGGGCACAGAGAGAGAGAGACGGAGAGGCAGATAGGGAAACCGGCCGCTCTTGTCAGCCGGAGAGATGGCTTCTGGTACCCAACTCATACTTTGTGGGCTTTTATTTTTTTACCTTTTTTTTCTCTGATTTTAAATTGTGCATGTTTTCTTGGTACCATGTGAATGTGAAGTTTCTTTCGCTTATGTTCAGTGCCCCTTTCTCCTCTTTCCGGTTCTCGTCTCCTAGTTCTTTTTCTTCCTTTCTCCACTTCTCCGTGGTCTCTTGCCGTTTCAGTCCCTCTTCCCTTTTCTCCTTGGCGGTTCGACTGGACTCCCCCTCTCCCTTGCCTGAGCCTCCAGCTGTCTTCGGCTTCCTCTGTTTCACGCGAGCTGCCTTTGGGAACTTCCTAGCTGGTCCCTGCGCCTTTTCCCCAGTGCTACTTCAAGTAGAAATTATGAGGAGGAGGGCAGCTCGTTATGCAATTTCAGATCTGTTGATGCTTCTTGTTCTTGTTTTTGTACTGAATCCAGGTTATTCGGGCTTTTGTCTTTTGCTTTGTTCTTTTAGTTTGGTTGCTTTTTGGTTTCTTTTTGGGAGGGTAGGGGGTAGTAACAAGAAATTCAACTGAACCAGAGTAACTGTTGAAAGCCACATCTATAGCAAGGCAAAAAAATCAAGTCAATTTTTGATTTTACAATGAAAGTTGTTTTGGATGATGTCATACTTAAGAATTATGACTTCTTTTTGCACTGCCAATCAAGCTATTACAGTGAATAGGGGAAACGCACGTTTATATGGCAGCCAAGGAGCATCTTGGCAGTGCTGGCTGTATTCTGAAACAAACTACTTAAAATGCACATCTTCCTGGGTCGTGGCTAATGGATTGTCTACCTTGAGACATGTTTGATTTTACCACTAGCTGATTCCTCCTGGGCAAAATAAACAAAGGAGTTTCTGTGTGACACTTCTTTCTTTGTATCATTCCCTCATTGTGTGTTCCTGGGTAATTTATTTATTTAATTAATATTTGGTGGTAACCATATTGAAATTGCAGCCAGCTTCGCATTCAAGGTGGAAAAGACTCACATGGCTAGAACTGCATCAACAAAATGCACAGTGCTTATGGTTCCTTTTAATCTTTTCCATGAAGCATTGCATATAGTTGTGTATGCATGCAGTATTTAAGGAATTGGCTACAGTGGGTTAATTTGCTAAGCATTAAACTCTACTAAGTGATTCTCGATTTGTTTATAGACAAGAGACATGAGGTGATAATATTGAGAAGGGGATGTTTGGGAACTGATGATCTTAAGTCAAACATTTTCAAACGTTTGTTGTACTAAATGTATCATCTGGCACTGCAGATAAAGCCACTCAAGGATTGTCGTGTGTGAACTCCTCTTCCTCAGCAGTGGCAGTCTGTGGTCAAAGTGAAGGAGATAAGCAATTGAGCCAAGTGTCAGTCGGACCTGGATTCAAAGGGGCACACAAAGGAGTGGGAGAGGGCAAGGCAGGCAGAACCATTTCTTGGGAGTGAGAAAGCTGTCTGGACATCAGCTAGGCAATGCAGGAGCAAGCAGGTTTCTCTCCTGCTTTCAGGGACCCAAAGACAAAAGGCTTTTTCCCTTTTGGGGATATGACTGACAGGAAACTAGATACCGTTTGTTTACCTGAAAATAAAATTTGGCCATCCCCTACTGGGTTATTTTTTTGGAACCTCACAGTGTCATCTGTGCTTTTTAAGGCATCAGTGTACAGGAGTGAACTGATTCATGGCAGTGTGCTTACCTGTGGGCTGAAACTCAGGCAGATCTCTTCCCAGGACTCCTCCACCTCGGTCTTTTGACTGTCCTCTTTAAAACAACCCAGTCCTCCCTTTGCCATCCTCCACCGAACTCAGGGCTCTGCTGGGCCTCTTATCAAGCTGAAGCCTAAAGAGTAGACGTCTACAAATAGAAATGCCTTGTGGTGCTAGCTTAGTGGCGTGCAGGATGCTCTGGGATCAGTCATTAGAGCTGCAAATAGGAAGCTTAAGGTTTGTGTTCAAGGATGGAGTTTGGTGGTCCACGTGGAGAAAATATTTTCAGATTGTTAAGGTTTAAGCATGATCTCCAGTCTTTTTCCCTGTTGTTTGTCATGTGCTCTGCACATGTAAATTTTGTATAAACTACAGGTATGGAAAGAAAATGTATGACATTTTTGGTGGTTATTGTTCAACTGAGTGAGAATGCCTGGAGTTTTCAATGCCTTAAAAATACGAAGCTTAATAATTACAGCCATGTGTTTGCTATGGTATGATGTAAACAGAAATAATTTTTCAAGTCATGATCATTGAAAAAATGTTTTCTTTTTATTTTTTAGATTATTTCTCTTTATTCAGAAGCATAAAGTTGTTTGCTGAGTGCAAGAAGATGTTTCTTTGGCTCTTTCTGATTTTGTCAGCCCTGATTTCTTCGACAAATGCAGATTCTGACATAACGGTGGAAATTTGCAATGTGTGCTCCTGCGTGTCGGTTGAGAATGTGCTCTATGTCAACTGTGAGAAGGTTTCAGTCTACAGACCAAATCAGCTTAAACCACCTTGGTCTAATTTTTATCACCTCAATTTCCAAAACAATTTTTTAAATATCCTCTATCCAAATACATTCTTGAATTTTTCACACGCAGTATCCCTGCAGCTGGGAAATAATAAACTGCAGAACATTGAGGGAGGAGCCTTTCTTGGGCTCAGTGCGTTAAAGCAGTTGCACTTGAACAACAATGAATTAAAGATTCTCCGAGCTGACACTTTCCTTGGCATAGAGAACTTGGAGTATCTCCAGGCTGACTACAATTTAATCAAGTATATTGAACGAGGAGCCTTCAATAAGCTCCACAAACTGAAAGTTCTCATTCTTAATGACAATCTGATTTCATTCCTTCCTGATAATATTTTCCGATTCGCATCTTTGACCCATCTGGATATACGAGGGAACAGAATCCAGAAGCTCCCCTATATCGGAGTTCTGGAACACATAGGACGTGTTGTCGAGTTGCAGCTGGAAGATAACCCATGGAACTGTAGCTGTGATTTGTTGCCTTTAAAAGCTTGGCTGGAGAATATGCCATATAACATTTACATAGGAGAAGCTATCTGTGAAACTCCCAGTGACTTATATGGAAGGCTTTTAAAAGAAACCAACAAACAAGAATTATGCCCCATGGGCACGGGCAGTGATTTTGATGTCCGAATCCTGCCTCCATCTCAGCTGGAAAATGGCTATACCACTCCCAGTGGTCACACTACCCAAACATCCTTACACAGATTAGTGACCAAACCACCGAAAACGACAAATCCTTCCAAGATCTCTGGAATTGTGGCAGGCAAAGCCCTCTCCAACCGAAATCTCAGTCAGATTGTGTCTTACCAAACGAGGGTGCCTCCTCTTACACCTTGCCCAGCACCTTGCTTTTGCAAAACACATCCTTCAGATTTGGGACTGAGTGTCAACTGCCAAGAGAAAAATATACAGTCCATGTCTGAACTGATGCCGAAACCTTTAAATGCCAAGAAGTTGCACGTCAATGGCAATAGCATCAAAGATGTGGACATCGCAGACTTCACTGAGTTTGAAGGACTCGATTTGCTCCATTTAGGCAGCAATCAGATTACAGCGATCAAGGGAGACGTGTTCCACAATCTCACGAATTTACGCAGGCTGTATCTCAATGGCAATCAGATCGAAAGACTCTATCCCGAAATATTTTCTGGCCTTCATAACCTGCAGTATCTGTATTTGGAATACAATTTGATCAAGGAAATCTTAGCAGGCACCTTTGACTCGATGCCAAATTTACAGTTACTGTACTTAAACAATAATCTCTTAAAGAGCCTGCCTGTTTATATTTTTTCTGGAGCACCCCTTGCTAGACTGAACCTGAGGAACAACAAATTCATGTACCTACCTGTCAGCGGGGTCCTTGATCAGCTGCAGTCTCTTACACAGATTGACTTGGAGGGCAATCCGTGGGACTGCACTTGTGACTTGGTGGCATTAAAGCTGTGGCTGGAGAAGTTGAACGACGGGATTGTTGTGAAAGAGCTAAAATGTGAGACGCCTGTTCAGTTTGCCAACATTGAACTGAAGTCCCTCAAAAATGAAATCTTATGTCCCAAACTCTTAAACAAGCCATCTGCACCATTCACGAGCCCTGCACCTGCCATTACGTTCACCACCCCACTGGGTCCCATTCGAAGTCCTCCTGGTGGCCCAGTGCCTCTGTCTATTTTAATCTTAAGTATCTTAGTGGTCCTCATTTTAACTGTGTTTGTTGCTTTTTGCCTTCTTGTTTTTGTGCTCCGACGGAACAAGAAACCCACGGTGAAGCATGAAGGCCTGGGGAATCCAGAGTGTGGCTCCATGCAGCTGCAGCTAAGGAAGCATGACCACAAAACCAATAAAAAAGATGGACTGAGCACAGAAGCTTTCATTCCACAAACCATTGAACAGATGAGCAAGAGCCACACCTGTGGCTTGAAAGAGTCAGAAACCGGATTCATGTTTTCAGATCCTCCGGGACAGAAAGTCATTATGAGAAATGTTACCGACAAGGAGAAAGATTTATTACATGTGGATACCAGGAAGAGACTGAGCACAATTGATGAGTTGGATGAATTATTCCCAAGCAGGGATTCCAATGTGTTTATTCAGAATTTTCTTGAAAGCAAAAAGGAGTACAATAGCATAGGTGTCAGTGGCTTTGAGATCCGCTATCCAGAAAAACAACAAGACAAAAAAAACAAGAAGTCGCTGATAGGCGGCAACCACAGTAAAATTGTTGTGGAGCAAAGGAAGAGCAGTGAGTATTTTGAACTGAAGGCAAAACTCCAGAATTCCCCTGACTACCTACAGGTCCTTGAGGAGCAGACAGCTTTGAACAAGATCTAGGTCATGCAATCTTACTTCATACAGAGGACATTTATTTAATGATGAAAGTGCCTTTTGTTGACTTCTAACTTCCAAATACTATATTATCAATAGGCATAGAGGCAGGTGTTTCCAAGGGTGTCTCATTAACTGTAGCTGCAAAGATGTGTCCAGTAGAAGAGAATTTCCTTAATAGATTTTACTACATAAAACCTATACTGTGGAGTCCTGTGGGGATACTGCAAACTCTATTGCCAAAGGGATGCTTTATATACACAATACACTGAATTTAACCTCAAGAGGCAAATCTGTTTTGTACCCAAATGCAAAACCTTCGTCTCTTTGTGCTTTGTAAAGCAAACTCAAGAAAACTGGTACCAGTGTTTGTACCTAGCTGGGTCCTTCACCTTGCACGTAGATTAAGTTGGTGGAACTGGAATAATCCTTTTGATTTGTGGCATTGTAACAACTCTGTGTAAAGATTATCTGAAAAGTAAAAAAAAAAAAAGCATGCAAAGAGAGAACATTCGATAGTATTTGTAAATCGGTAACCTTTATGGCCTGCATCTTGAAACCACTGGATTTATAATGTTAAATTGTGCAAATATTTGTTTAAAATATACCATGCATTACATAACTATAAAATAAATTTGAACACTTTAAGCATTACCTGTCTATACATAAAACCTAAAAGAGAAAAAAAAATCAATGTGAGTTACATAGCGTTTGTGGTGATCTGAAGAAATACGTGATGTCTATCAGAATTAAACATGGCTCAAATTAAACTAACATTAGAGTTTGTTCTCAGTTACGTGAAATACCCACAATCCTTAAAGGTTGTCCAAAATTAGCAAAGTGCTTACCGTGTGAGCGCACCCAAAGCTATTTTTGTAACATAATTCATATTTATGAAGTTCTTTGTATACTAAATAGGAAAATATGTACTCCTTAATATGTATTTAAGATGCCTGAATTGTTTTCCTGATCACAGGGAATTTATCAATAAGTATAAATTTAGACAGAAAAAGTATACCAAAATGAAACCGAAGCTTATGTGTACAGAAATATTCTGGACATTGTGATCAGGTATAATTTAAAAATAAAACAAACAAAAAAACCAAAAAAGAGACAAAAATACAAAAAAACCAGTTCTGTGCTATTCATGAGAATTTAGCGTATTCAGATTTGTTACCAGCTGTGCATTTTAAAATAGGTTCCTTAGTTTTATAGTATTGTGTCTGGGGCAGTTGTTATTTGACATCAGTTGTCTTGCTTTTCAGGATTCTATGAGCTTAATTCAAATAGTTTTCACTACAAATACTTAAAAAGTTAGTGAGTAAGGTTAATAGTTATATCTCGTCTGCATCGGTATCCTGTTCTTTCATCATTCTGACTACTATCGGATAATCAAGTAGAACAGTAAACATCATGGTAATCTTGGCTGTCGAAGCCACACTGTAAAATGCTATCATTGGTCTCAGATGAGTTCAGTCTGCAACTACAACTGGATATGCCACTGTGTTTGCTTGTGCTGTTAACTGCTAGCCCAAATTGGTCACAGGAAGGAAGGCCTTGATAATGGGAGATATTTGAAGACTTTTAGGAGTTCCCAATTCGTGGAATGACATCCCGAAACACATTGCCTTCTTGGCCTGCCTGCATATGTATATTTTTTGTGCTCCCTTTACTATAATTACTGAATTAATCAGTAAGATGACCCAGAAGGTAAACATAAACATTCTTCATGAATTTCAAATGGCAGATGTTTTGGTGCAGCTTCCAAAAATGATATGATGGTTAAAGTTGTAACAGCAGTCCCTTTATTAATTACTAATTTCAGGGCTTTCTATGTTTGTTCCAAGATAAAAAACAAACAACTTGGCATTCTTGGAGGTGTGTGTGTGTGTGTGGGTGGGTGTGTGGATGTGTTTGGGTGTATATGCATACATATAGATAATTTGGAGATTTGTTTTTAATGGCAAAAAAAATTGTCTCCATATGTATGTGCTGGTGCTCTTAAAACTTTAATGTGTAATTTTAATTTTCTTGACAATGTCTGTGAAAACTTTATATGAATATTAAAAAATACAAATAAATACTTGCTTTCTGATCTTGAAAGAAAAGACATGAAGATGTGTGCCCAACAACTTGTTTTCATCTACAATTTCATAAGGACTTTTAATATGCCATTACCGTGCTGGCATGTATTCATGGATTAAAGGGCTCCTAGTGCATACTGGCAGGATAAAGATGCAAAGGCTTCAAAGAAAGTGTTTTAGTTTATCCTGTCAATAAAGTATGGATTGAGGAATCTTAAGTGGACACTTATGGGAGGAACCGGAAAGCTCCGTCCATGATCGCGGGATAATAGGTCATTGGGATGCCTTTTATTCAGTGTGGTGATGCTTTGAAGCTGTTTCAAGGTTTCTGCAGAGTTGTCAATGGCAAGAGTACCTACCACCATCTCAAATCTTGCTGTAGCATAGTGGCTATCTCATAGGCTTCTGCTGAAAGTTATAAATGTTCAACTATTTTTTTTTAAAGTAAATGTATGGGTTATTTGGAGGTTCTAATTGTAAGTGAATGACAGTAACAAATCCTTGGTTAAGGCTGATATATTTTCCTTAACTAAAGTCATTGTGCCTACATTATACAGTGTATACTATTTTGCACCTGTCTCTCGTTAGTTCGACTTGTACATTTTATGATAATATAGTTAGGCATAAGTTTTGAGTTGAGTACAAGCGCAGTTAAAATACTGTATCTACATTTTGTTGGCTTCAGGTATAACCTTGATGTTAGTTTAACCCCTTGAGGAATGAGATATATATATATATATATATATATATATAAGTACAGCATTTTTGGTAGAATTTGATTCAGATCTAGAAAAATCCAAGAACTGCTCACTTGTAATGTGGTCTGACACATCATGGGCTTCTTGGCATTGTATCATGTGCTTGGACTCTGTTAGAATGGTTGCAAAGAAAATTAGATTATACAAAATCAGTGAAAGGGTTGAGATAATATATTATGTCCATGTAATATAAATCAAGTTTTAAATTATTTTTTTATGAAATCAATAAAGATGATTCAATTCTTTAAAAGTAAATCTTTGTGTAATTTTATGAGAAAGCAGCTATTAAAATACAGTGATTCAAATCTATACAGCAATTTATATTCCATATTTAGTTTTCCATTCTGAATAATAAACTGAATAAAAATATTAATTAGAAAATCATTTAAGACCAGCTTTCTTTTGTTGCTTTTTTAAAACATTTAATTTCTTTAAGCCGTAAGGATGCATAAATTATACAGGGCATGGCCTCATGAGTAACATCAACAGGTATTGCCGAAAGAAAACATCCAGAAATGTATGGCGTTAATATTGATCTATAATCTATTTTGCATGACTTCTACATTGACATTGTATGAAATGAGCACAGTGAGGTTTTTCTTGTTGTTGTTGATATTGTCGCATCCAAAGAGCTGGGGAGAAATACATTAAGAATGTATTTATAGTCAGTATTTTGAAATAAAGTAAAGAAAACACATTGTATTGTTTTTACCCTGATTTGATTATTAGTCTTAGGTTAGTTTATAAGACAAAAATCAAGTAAAGCTATAAGAGCTAATGTAACTCACAGGAACTGTTTTAATGACTTTTGTTTGCTTTTAATAACATCAAGGTATTAGAGAGAATTTATTAAATGCCATTTTTATGAAAGAATTAATAAAATTGTTTGCTACAATGGTATTTCTGAAGCCACAGTTTGTTAAATATATTTATCTTTCCATTATTTTTCAGAAGAAATAAAGTGGTAACCAAACATCTTTTCACCTAGATTTTAGGGTAAGACAAGAGCTCTACAATACTGTTTGTGTTCAACTTAATTGCTAAATCTATGTTCAGAGGTGCTTTGTTTTCAAACATCTTTGCAATCTGTGTTCCTTTCCACTGGCAGCCTCTTTGGAGAAGAGTTAGACAGTGCCAAGGTCAACATGCTTGGATTCTTGCCGATTCCTGTTCATCAGTTGGAATCTGACATAACTGCAGATAAGGAAATATTAATATTCAGTCTTAACTATCTATTCAAATATTTCTAGAAAAACTTCAGGACCTCTATAATCTATGGCCAGCTTGACTGGTTATGGAGTAGATTGTGATTTTTAATTGGTTCCTCCAAAGATGACCAAAATCATCAATCCATAACTATACCAGAGTTGTTATGGTTGAGAAAAGTGAACCAATTGCATTTTGGTTAATATGAGGGCAGTAAAGATTATATACAGACTGTATCAACCAATAAAGTAGATTTAAGGTATGTTTCCTTATGGGAAGAGATTTAAAGAGAGAGGGAAATGGAGAATATAAATTAAGATTGTTGTGGTCTTATGTCTATACCTAACTATGCTGAAGGTGTGAACAATATAGATGGCACATACGTGTACTTTTGGACTAAATGTTTTGTGTATCACAGGATATACATCACATGATTATGTGACTTATTTTAGTTGGTTATGAGTACTGAGCACAGGGCTTTGGGTCCCAGCCACTCAGTTATGTAGACAAGTGCATCAAATGAAGGTTTGGCTTCATTTCCAGCGCTCATTCAATTAGTCACCATGGTAAGATGGACTGAACTAAAATATCTTGTTTGTGGTTTCACTTACCGGAACTAACTGGTGACATATATTTAGTTCACCTGATAATTCTTAACCCTCAATTTTAGATTTCTTGGGGACTCTTTCCTTTGTTAAATTAAAAGCAAATGGGTGGTTATATGATTTTTTTTAGAACAATCCCAGTTACTCCTCTGATAGCTTCTCATTGCTTTTCTTTTTTTTGAAAGACTGGCCCTGAGCTAATATCTATTGCCAATCTTCCTCTTTCTTTTTCTCTTCAAAGTCCCCCAGTACATCCTAGTTGTAGGTCCTTGTAGTTCTTCCACGTGGTATGCCACCTCAGCATGGCTTGATGAGCGGTGTTAGGTCTGTTCCCAGCATCGGAACCAGCAAACCCTGGGCCACCAAAGCAGAGCGAGCAAACCTAACCACTTGGCCATGGGGCCAGCCCCCTCAATGGATGTTAATAACTTATTTTGTACAAAACTGCCCTTAATCTAATTTTGAATTTCATTTTGTTTTAGTTTCCAGTGATTGATAACATTCCATTTTAGAAGGGGAAATCAAGGAAAGCAAACTGTGTTATCTATCTTATATGAAATACTATGACATTTTAATTTTTAAAGATTACTTTTCACCTGTTGTTCCTATGTCTACAGAGGGAAAAATGAAGAGGGGTTCTGGGACAACTACTTGAATACTTTGAGCCAAATAATTGCTATTGAGAATAAAATGATTCAATTTTTTTATTAAATCATGATTACCAGATCCACTGACTATGGAACCCAGGGCCAGCAAAGAATTACTCAGCCTTCCCTTAGTTTGCTTTCGTAGATGCTGGTTAAATAGAAATTCTGGTGCTTTCGATAATACATCAAAAATGAGAAATTACTTGTTTAACTTAAAAAGCTCATGAATAAGGCCTTCAGAGAGATGATATGAATATGTAGTGAAAGAGTATACAATATAAATTTCAAATTAGCCATTGGAAGGAAATAGTCTTCTAAAGTTCCTGAACAATAGATTTCTCTTAGTTGGCACCTCACAAATACTAGATCATGTCATTGCTGCTGGTTAACAGCCTGAGGAAGCCGTGTTGTGCAGTGGACACTGCTCATGGAAGCCTTTGAAAATCACAGTAGGCTCTGTTCTCCCTACTAAGAATTGCAATGTATATTTCCATCATTGTTCCGTGTAAACTGAACCATTGTGGTAAAATTCTGGAGTTGATATTCAGTAATTTTAATGCTGTTTTCACTAATAAAAGTCTTATAGGTCATATTTGTAGCCATTCAGTGTGTTTATTAGTGTGAAATTAGTGAAGTTCAGCATCAAAAAGAGATGCAAATATTCTGTTTTTTACCTAATGCAATTGTTCTATTAGTTTCCACAGTAGGCCAGATGTACCTACGTACCTACACACACACTCTCTCACACACACACACACAGAAGAATATCCACAAATAATGAATTATTTAGTTGATGTAAACAAACAAAATTTCTGCTTTGACTACCTAGATCTTTCGAATAAAAGTACGTGTTGGGGTCCAAATTATAGTTGTCCTGCTTTGTGCTTCAATTTAAATTGAAACTTGACCACTGCATCATGTATAGTAAAAGTTAGGCCCAGTTTGTCTCCCAGGACTTCTGTAGATTTCAGTAATGTCTGCTGTCTTGAGATTTGGTTTTGATTTTCCTTATTTTTTTAACTTGATGTATAGTGCAGTATGTAATTCCCAGGTAGCTAACCATGGTGGAAATCAAGGCTGCTGCTCCCTTTCAAAATATTATTTAGAGAACCATAGAGGGACATCTAGATCAAAAATAAAGAAGCCCACGGGAAGGATTTGATCAGAAATTATTATAACATGGAGGTATAAAAAGAAAAAAAGGAAGAAAAAGTAGGTAAATTACTGCCTAAAGAGCTCTGTACCTGAGTTGAGGTCAGGGAGGATAAGGGCAAAGGAGCATTATGAGGAAAAAAAAATGTTTCGTTATCAGGTAAAACTCAGAGTCTGATAACTGAACAAGAATCATGGTAAAATATGTCAAATCTTACACTTTTCTCCTTATTCTCTCTCTGCTTTATTTCTTTTAAACACAACACTAATAATTCATATGCTTGTAAAGAATTCACTGGTCAATTAAAACAACTAGTTACTTTTTCAGCCCCCATGGAATTTTCTCCTGGATGACTGACAGCATGGATTGACTGTCAGGGCCTCCTGATACAGCTCTAGGTGTAAAAAAATGATAAGTAGTGTTTGTGTTTAATGAGAATAGGAGGTGAAACATGCATATTGCTTATAATGAATTTTGATAGGGAGCAAAATAAGTTGATACAAACATCTGGGTTCCTAATCTTGTGGTAAAAGCTGCTAGGCCTTTTGGTTTGTTTTCAGAAATTGTATTTCAATACAAATTACCAAGTGCATATTTCAGAAGCCATTTCCTGCAAGAACCCCCCCAGGAAGCCATGTCTCTGCCATGGGTCCCCTTGCTCCATAGCAGGATGTGTCACATTTGCCAAGTCCTCTCTGCTGGAAATTCTTCTCTTCTGGTGCTATGAGCAGGCAACGTCATCCATGGCACAGACTAGCTTAGAGAGATTTTTTTCAGTGTTGTTTGGTCGTTAGTGGCAGTACACACAAAAAAACGTAGGATTCTGTGTCCAAGCATATATTTGCCGTTGTAATGTTACCACAACTAGACAGCATGTCAGTTGTATATATATTCCATATGGGTATTATTTTTTTTTATTTACCAGTTATCTTTCAGTCCACAACAGCTACTACTTGTTTTATTCATAGCTCTCCTTCAAGGTGGAAGGCAATCTCCACCCTGGAAACTCACAGTTATGTATAGAAAGAATCATCATATTTCTATCTGCTCATTTCCTTCTATAACTTCAAGAAGTATAGAAAATTTAGTAAGTGATTGATTTAAAAGGAAGTCCTGCTGACACAAAAATAATTATAAGAAGATAGAGTGAGTTGTCAGGAAGAAAGTCAACTTTAGGAAGGTTTTCTTGTGTTTTCGATTTCCTTGCATTGGAACTGGAGTGCAAGGCTTTACTCCTGAGCTGGTCTGAAGGAAAACGCATTTCACTCCACAGTCCCTGCAATAACCAAAGAAGTATATTGTTGCTGACATGTGGGCAGGTTTACCATGTGTTGCCATAAACATGGCTGTTATTTTCTCCTTGCATTCTATTTCAGAAAATATTCATTTGCTCAGATTTGGCACAGCTGCTGAAATGCTGCTGTATCAATTCTCACCATGAAAATTTACAAAGCTTTTTTTTTCTATGTGTAACTAGGTAGTTACACAGAAATGTGTATTGGAAACAAGATAAAACCATCGGGATTAAGAAGAGAACGAGTGTGTCCTTAGGAAAAGAAACTTTTAAGGGAGACAAAACACAGGCATTTTATTAAAATTAATTTGAATTAATTCTTAATTCTATGAACTAATGTTTTGGAGGCTTCAATATGTTCATTATAAGGGAAGTAAGACTCAGTTCATAGACAGCATTTCCATTCTCTGTACAGTCATCTGGGTTGCCTAGACTGTGCTGCAGTGTAGAATGTGTTAGCACTAACTTGGTTATTTAATCCCAAATGCATATCTGATTTCAGCTGCTGATTTGCATATAAATGCATTGGAGAAGCCCAGTTTCTAACATAATGTTCTTACTATAGCAAAGTGAGACTGAACTAAATAGTTTTTACTCCATCTTAAAGGTGATCAGAGTAGGGTGAAACTAACAGCCTGTGGATGAATAGTCATCTTCAATGTTTAAGAGCCATCACAGGAAGAGGAGATTATACATATTCATTCAATTTCCAAATCAGATCATTTAACCCCAGTTTCTTTCCTTTTGGAAGAGCACCTAGGGCTGGAGAAGGAATGTGACTTGCCCAAGGTCAAATAATATGAAGGCCAATCTGGTCTACAAGCTGATTCTCCTGTCTCACAGGATGATGCTGTTTCCATTACACTGTTCTACTTGGAAGTTCCAGAGCAGAGAATGAGGATTTGTGGGCGAGGCTTCAGGGAAACATTCCAATGTAGCATAAGGACATTTTCCGTAAGGTTTTGTAGCAGCCCATAACTGGAAAGAGCTAGATT